CTATGGTTCTCTAGCTTTCAGAATATGCTTTAATTTGGAGATTGACTGTCATTTTCTCTTTCTGTAAAGCCATGTGCTGTTGTATTTCACCCAGGTACTAGAGGGGAAATTAATCTCACATGGGTCATTGACCAAAAGAGAAAGGAGCAGGAGTCATAGAGAATCTAAGCAAGTGCACAAAATTTTTATCCCAACATAGACATTATAGCTACAACTACAGAACACATGTTCTTTGCTAGACAGAGACATTAGAACAGGTATTGTAACTGCATTCCACATGTTCAGAAGAGAAGTAAACACATGGGAAATATTAAAAAAGACCCAAAGCAAACCTCTCCAGATGAACACACAATGTCTGAGATGAATAGTGCACTGAAGGGAAGTTGAGCAGATTAGACATTTAACAAGAGAAGACAAGAAAACTTGAAGGCATAGCAATAGAAACTATAAAAAATAAAACATGGAAAGAAAAATAAATAAATGGACAGAACATCGATGTGGCATAAAACAACTTAAAGTGGCCAATTGTATGTATAATTAGAGTCCTTAAAAAAGTGGGAGGGACTGTTTGATGAAATAATGGCCAAAATCAGATTTCTTGTTGAAAAGATGCAAGTCTTGTGACCATAGACAGAATTCTTTCAAGTATTGAAAGAAAAAAGTTGTCAAGGAAAGCAAATTTCTTGTTGGAAGGATGGAAGTTGTATGACAATGTCAAGAAAATTCTTTAAAGTATTGAAAGAAAAAAGTTGTCAACCTAGAATTCTTTACACAGCCAAAATATTTTCCAATGAGAATGCAAAAGAAAGTTTTTCAGATGTATGAAAGATGAAAGAAATCATCACCAACAGATATTCAGTACAAAAAATGTTAAATGATGTCCTTCGAGCAGGAGAATAATGACCCCAGGTGGAAATCTGTATCTACACCAAGGTATGAAGACCTTGGAACTGCAAGACTCTCTGCTTTATAGAAGTGGTGAGAGCTGAAATCCCTGCCTTGTTCCTCATCTGTATTAAAAGCATTCAGTCTTTCCCCATTGAGTATAATATCCACTAAATAGCAACTATAGGTTTTGCATAGATGTCTTTTATCAGTTTGAGGAAATTCCCTTCTGTTCCTAGTTTACTGGAAGTTTTTATAAGGTTGTTGGATTTTTTTCAAATGCTTTTTCTGAATCTACAGAAATGATGTGTTTTTGTCTTTTAATTTATTAATATGGTGAATTACATTGGCTCCTTTTTAATG